CATATAGATCTACTAAATATAGTACGTTTAAATTTAGATTAAAGAAGAAATAAAACATTATTATACAAGGAAATTATAAATATAGTATTTAAATTTATAATAATTAATATATATATTTTTTTTTTAAATTAAATGCCAAATTTTAAAAATACAAATTATGTCTAATTATATTTTATATTTCTTTTTTTTTAAATATATATTTATATTTATATTAATTTAATTTATAATTAAAATAAAAAAAAATTAATTTTTTTATTATTATTAATGCTAGTTGGAAAGAATAATACTTTTTAGGTCATTAGCCCTCTTCCATCCATCCTAATACCCTTTTTAAACAAAAAATTTTCAGGTTATTATACACAAATATTTTACCACTATCTCTGATGAGTTTAAAAATAATATATATTAACAATATTTATAATTATAACAAAGATTTGAAAAACAAACAAACCAGAATTTTTAAAAAATAAAGGGATTTATATTAAAAATCTTTAAAAAATATGAATAAATCATCGACCGTATGATAAATTTATCTATCTTCCCTCGCAAGTTAAGATAAATTAAAGCTTATTTTAGTCTCCAGAGAGAGAGAGAAATTAATTTAAAAAATGTGAAGGAAAAACTTAAATTTAAGACGCGATGGACTAAATCAAGATTTTAGTCAGAAAAAAAATTTGATGACATAAGTTAAGCCTCGAGAAACTTAGCATGTAGATGGTATATAAAAAAAAACGAAGATATTATTTATTATTATAATTTTTAAAAAAAAACGTTTTATTATTGAATGAAATAGAAAATTATGAGAATACACACAAATTAGGTAATTATTAGAAAAAAACAATTATTAAGTTTTGTTTTAGTGGCACTTTTCCCGACCATTTTTTTTAAATAGCGCATGCGCACATAAACTGCAAGGGTTATTATATTCTAAGGGTGATTTATTTCTTTAAATTTCATATATTTTGAAAGAATCAATTTATTTTATAAGTATTTGAGTGGCATTGTTATTTATCGTATTTTATTCTCGTTTCTTTTCTTTTTTTTTGGCTATTTAGTCGATACTAGATAGCTTATAAGTCGATCTAGGGTACACGACCATGTGGACAATTTTGACAAGAACTTTTTCAGTGAAGTTTCTTAGACAAAATTCTGATCCATGATTCCTGGGAAATAAATGAAGACGCCTCTTCATGAATGACAAGAATTCCATTTCCCAAAAAATTGTAAACATTTTTAAATGTTATTTGATTTTAATAGCTTTTTATAGGTGGCATGGCAAGGTTACAAAAAAAAAATTTTTTAAATGAAAATAAAAAGGGTATTTATTGGAAAATTTGATTCAATTATTTCTATCGAGTACATTGATATTTTATAGATTTATTTATAATTACAATATTACACCCTTTTTTAATCGTCAAAGCCGCAAAAAAGTGTATTATAAAGCAACGATAAATCAATTATTGCTTATTTGCAAAAATGTGAACCTAACTAATTAAGGAGTTGGGTTGATCATTTGAGAGTTTATTCGTCGCCTGAGAATTAGATTATTCCATCTCCACTTTTTTTTGTAATTTTACGGGAGAGCAATGTTTTTTTTAGAAACAATTAAGTTTCATTCGTTTTCGATAGGATGGTTAAAACTTTGTTTTTTGTAAATATTTCAGATTTTTATATTATAAAAAAATTGAAAAGAGAAGAGAAGAGAAGAGAAGAGAAGAGAAGAGAAGAGAAGAGAAGAGAAGAGAAGAGAAGAGAAGAGAAGAGAAGAAGAGAAAGTCTATTTTTGACAAAATAACCTAATGCTCAAACGACGATCTAATACAAAAAATTTTTATTTTTACAATTATTATAAACTTAAAATATTAAATATCGTATATTTAATATTCTCTTCCCCATTTTTTTTTTGCAGTATTTTTTTGTAATGGGTAATGAGAGCAAAAATTAGTCTAAATAATAGATAAAAATTTTTAAAAGCCAGAAATGAAAACGTAGTAATTGCTTTTTATTTACCTTAAGTAAATATACATTAGTATTCGCACTATGTTTATGGGCCAATATTTTTTTTTGTGATAATATTTACTTTAACTATCTTTAAAAATTGATGAGATTCTCAATTATTGAAAAGAAGAAAAAAAATATATCAGTGTCTATAAAGAAAAATATTTTTTTATAAAAATATTTTAGAGAAAATATTCGATTTCCGGTACATACAAAATTGTATCTAGTTAAGTATAGATACACATATATATATTTAGAGTGAAGATAAACATCTGACACATCTAGATTAAAGACTAAAAGGCCTGAGCACAAACCGGCAAATCATGATTTTATAAAAGAAATTTTCAGACCCGACCCATGAATATTTCTGCTCATGAAAAATAAAATCGTAACGCTGCATTCAAAGATAGGCGAATTCGCGACACCTATGAATGCTGGGTAAGAGTTGCCAGGCCAAGGTTGTTAAATCCAGCGTCTACACGAGACTTAAAAAAAATGGAGCCAACATGCTTGAGATATACTCCCCCTCCCTCCCCCTACTCCACTCCCGTGAACTACCTCATATCTTATTTAGGGATGTATGAAGACATTTGCCTACTACCTCACTCCCGCCCCCTCCGGTCCTGTAGATATCGGTCATGTCCCATCCCTAAAATCGGACTGAATCTTTACTTTACAAATTTGGTTTCTTACTGGGATATAGGTTCTAAATCGCTAAAATTGATTTCAATAATGAAAATATAATCAAACTATGGAATATGGATGATATTTCCTCCATTTTTAAGCGATTTTTTTAAAATTTAAATTTTTTCTAGGAGATATAAGGGAAATTTCCAATTTTTAGCGATTCATTACGGGAACCGTTTTAATATCGCATTTTTTTTTCAGTTCCAATTTATATTCTTAACTTTCTTTCATCAACACTCACATACAAAAAAACATTTAATTCATATCCTATTTTTTTATATATTGAATGATTAAAACACATGATAAAATATCATTAATCAGGATACTAATTAATTAATTATTTTTTAAATTATGATTTAATGGTTATTTTTTTTCTTTCTCTTCAAAATTTTAAATCATTTCAATTTTCGATTTCTTTATTTAAAAAAAAAAATCCAGATGATGGTCATGATAAAAGGTCTATTCATAAAATAAAAAAAAACAAAGCAAATCGAATAATTTATTAAAATCGGTATTCGGTGTAATATTCGACATTCGATTCAAACTATCCGATATGAATGGAATATCCTGAAATGGCAATTATTTAAATAAAAACGGAACAAATCAAATAAAAAATTAGTATTCGATATACTATTCGACATTCGATTCAAACTATTTGAAATGAATTTTGAAATCCAATTTTACTAAAATTAGTATTCGGTGTATTATTCGACATTCGATTCAAACTATTCGAAATGAATCGAATTTCTCGTAATGGAATTAAACGACTTCCCTATAAAGATTCCTTTTATTTTTAGAGGGCAGATATTAAACCATTTATATTTTTACCATATATTTTTTTTGTTTGAATCCCATCTTCCCGACGAGGTTAAAGATATGGTTCAAATCCCCCCCCCCCTATCCCATATAGATCTGTGTCAGGGTCATGATGTATTAAAAATAATGGAGGTATAATAGCTACCCACTTTACCATTTGTATAAATAAATATTTAGTAAAGAAAGTGAATTTGCATTTGAAAGCGTCGTTGAATGCAGATCAGCTGGAGCCGCCATTTGTGTTAAAAACTACTGATAACTTGCTTCCTCCTCATTATCTCGATGATCAGGCAATTCTTTAATAAAGTTTGCGTCAAACTTAATTGGCTTTTTTTTAAATTTTGATGATATCGGCAACAAAAATGGCGTCCTCAGCTGTTTTTATTGATGTACACTTATAATGAATGCATAGTCAGTCTGTATTATTATATGTCATTGTCAGGGGAGATCCGCTAATACCATTTTTTAGTATCTCGATACAAATAAAGTAACGGTCGACAATTACGAAATTTTATGTTTTAAAAAAAAAATATTTTAAATTTTCCCCACAAGTCTCCATAAAAATGGCCTCTCAATATTAATGAAACTTTATAGTCGTAATTTATTTTATTGTAATTGTAGCGTTTGTTCTTCCGCGATTTTATCCGCTTTAAAAAATTGTGGATCAATTTTCCCCTTTTCTTCTTAACGATTCATGGCTTAAAATGAGGGTCAATTTTATTTTAAATTTTTTCTTTTTTTATGAGTACTAAATATATGATCGGAAATTGATTATCGATTAATATTAAGTATTAACCGATACCAAAGAATCGATATTTGTAATCAATGTCAATTCACGTATTGTCACTTGTCAGTAAATAAATGTAAAATGATTCTAAAGTTCACGATGTAATTATCGGATATTTATAAAAATAGGTATTCTACATAAAAGAGCACAGATGATTGTGCTATTTACCAACTTAAATCAATTTTTGTTTTTTTAAATTTCAAAAATTTAATTTTTCCGGAAATGCATTCCAAGCCCGTGCAGGATAACTTTATCCTATAAAATTCAGAAAGTTTTATGAGGCATCATGGGATTTGACGAGAGTGATACGCGATTATACGCGTTGACTAGTAGCGCACTGCATTCACAGTTAACGCGAATTCGCTACGAAGTTATTAAAAAAAATAATCTAATTAAAATTTTAAAGAAAAACTTTCTAGCTTCCACTGTTTACTTATACGCCTCATTTATAGTAAACTCGTTTTGTTCGAACGGTACAGTATTTAACGCTGTCGAAATCACAGCTGATTCTTCACGGCGTTAATAATTTTTTTTGAAAAATATTAGGTCGGAAACATATGTTTTTCAAAAATTTTATCATAGCCATTATTAATCGTTTCGCTTCGTATTCATAAAATCATACCCTATATTTGTTGGGCTTGATTTTGTAAATAACGCGGCGATGAATACCGCGCGGCTTGAACAAAGAGCGATATATAAAGTATAAATAAACCTTGATTGGATGCCGCCTTTTGAGGGAAGTCCTGTTTTCTCCTGGTCATTATAACGCGAACAAAAAAAAATTAATTTATAATTGTCACATATTCAATCCACGGTAAAAATATGATTATTATTATTATTATTAATAATATCTTGGAATTATTTTGTGGTTTAATTATTTTTTTTTTAAAGAAAAAATTAAAAATAAAATATATTTATTGATTCATATAAAAGGCGAAAAGGACAAAAATTAATATTATCATTATTTATAACATTTTTAATTTTTTTTGATGAATCAAATTTTTTTTCTCCCTTCTTCTTCATTATAAAATATGTGGCATTTTAACGCATATCTAAATAATAAAATATATATTTTTTTTAATACAAATTTATTAGTTTTTATTTGATTTATTTTAGTTTTTTTTTAAATTTTTTTCATATTTATCTTTTAAATATTTTATGTATTCTTCATTTTATTATTCTTTTTATTTATAATCAATAAAAATGTCATAAATATTTGTAAATTTTATTTAAAAAAAACGAAATTAAAAAAAAAGAAAGATATTTTTTTTTAAAAAAAAATAAAATAAATTTTTATAAAAATGAAAAAAAAATGATATTTTTATTTTATTTTTAAAAAAACTGTTTTAAATTTATTTATTATTATTATTTTATTATTTTATTAATGATTCATATCATTATTTTTATTGAGGTTTTTTTTGTATAAAAATTCAAATTATATTGACCAAATAAAAAAAAATCTTTCCCTGTATTTTTTTTATATTAATATTATCAAAAATCAAATGATTGATAGCCTTCTATTCTTGATAAGCAAAGCCAAATAATTAATTTTTTTTATGTCGAAAACTCGTATGATTTTTTAGATTATTTTTTATATTTTTTAAAGGATTAATTTATTTAACATTATATTTATTTTTATTTTTTAAAAAAAAACTTTATTGGTTAGTTTATTTTTAAAATTGATTAATTATTATTATTATGTATTATCTTTATTTGAGTCGATTTTTAAAAACGTAACTTAATATTTTATTCAGAAAAATATTATAGAAGCTTGAAAACTTTGCTGATAGATATTAGCAAAGCTCGAGGCTTAGACAATTTTCTGGATTAAATATTTCTTTAGCCGCTTTTAAAAATCAGCTCAAAGGGAGCTAGGTTAGTTTATTTTTAAAATTGATTAATTATTTTTATTATGTATTATAACCAGGGATGCGAACCCGAACGGTTGGGCATTTTGAGACCACAGACCACACAGAGACCAATTTATGGCAACTCATCAAACCCGGGGTAAAATGGACCTTAGAAAATCGGTTTCTCTTAAGTTCCTGCTATCAAAATTTCCGCTAGAGTTGATAATTCTTGAACCCAGGTTCGGGATCACATCCCTGTGTATAACTGAAAGTATTAACTCGTGTCGTAAAACGACGTTAAGTCAAAAAAATTAACGCGTTACTTATTTCGTTATCTAGTCAAAAGAAAAGTATCGCGTTACCACCATTCGTTACCTTTATGGAAAATAAAAGGGAAGCGTCATTCTTTATCTAAAAAAAAATACTAAATATTGTAAATAAATTTTCTTCTTTTGTTTTTTTAAGAGCGCTTAGAGGTCAATACAGCAATTTTTGTGCTGAAGGTACCTTTAACTGACTCAGAGGTTGGAAGGGTTAAATTATATTTAATAAATAAATAAATTTAAAAAAAAATTTTTTTTTTTGGGGGGGGGGGGGCTAACTTATTTATATCATCATCACATGAATATTCTTTCAGACCCTCACCCAAATTTTTCTTATCTTTTTCAGAAGGAACTCTGGCTCGTTATTCAGAAGTCTGATTTTTATTTGACAAAAATCTTTTCTCAAGTAGGTACATTATAATGATATAATAGACCGGAAACGACCCCATGGATTTCCGTCTGAAAAAGTGGAGCCATTTTGAAAATAGCAGGTTTGTGTACTTTATCATAATTCTTAAAAAATAATCAAATAGCATTGGCTAACTCAAGATTTTATCCAGAAATATGTACAGCAAACCTGAAGATTTTTTGCTCATTGATAAGCACAAAGGTTCTGACATCTATTAGCAAAATCTCTAGGCTTCGGCAATATTTGTTTTGGTCAAAATATTGAATTAGCCGTTTTTAAAAATTGGCTCAAATCGAACAATTTATCAACACTTTCTTTAAACAGTATTTAAAATAATTTCAGGATATTCTTTTAATAAAATAACTCGATTCGGCTCCGACATAGTCCATCCTCCCAGTTTTCCGAATTGCGACATATCAGTTAATTCTGAGTGCGGACATGGGTCAAATTGTTTAAAATGGCAGGGATCGTCAGCAGCGTCATTCATCGGTAAATAAACCTTTTCCATATATTTAGAATCAAGAATTGCTAAAAACAAATAATTAAGACCAAAGAATATGGAGATAAAAACGAAATTCTAATGAAAAAATCTAAAGGTACGGAAGAAACTCCCCTAATATACAAGTAAAAAGTAGACAAAAAATTCGTTACGTTATATTTTCAATTCGTAAAATTTTATTATATATAAAGGTATTTGAAGTAGTGATTTGCATCGGGTCTACTCTTTCAAGCCCGGCCAGGCCCGATTTTTCCGGCGCGGCTCTAACCCCGAATTTTTTTTAAAAAAATTACCGGCCGAGCCAAACCCAAATTTATTTAGATATAGAAATTGATTTTTATTATTACAAGATATATGTTATATTATGGCGTCTAGTGTCTGTAAAAATAATCAAAAATTTTATATTTTGCATAAAAATTTTAAACATTAAAATTGTTAAATTTAGATATATTTTAAAAAAATTTTCAAGGGCCGACCCGTCCCGGCCCGAATTTTTTTAAAAAAATATTAAACCCGACCTAGCCCGAACTTGATTTTTTCTAAAAAAAAATAGGCTCGGCCAGGGTTAGGGCAGACCTACTTTTGCAGATCTCAAAATTGAAAGCCTAAATATCATAAATAATTCATTTATTTTAATTTATAAAAATTAATTTATTCTCAATTAATGTTGAATAAGTTAAAAACCATTTAAAAGTGATTTAATGAAATAAAAGAAATCGCAAATTGTGCTCTAATCAGGGTTGGGCAGTATAGCGGATAAATTTTGGAAAGTATCTTGTATCCAGTATCTAAGATACATATTATTTAAAAGTATTTGAATCTTAACCAACTTTGTATTCAAAAAGATACAGATACTTTAAAAATTTATATTGGTTAATTTAAATAGTATTAAAATTTAAAATGATATTGTTTTAAAGATTTAAATGAAAAATTTAATCGAAATTTAGATATTTTAAGATAATTTTTGATATATGACGTTGGTCTTCATATAGCAATTTGCTAACAATTAGAACTACCATATTTGAATCGTTTTATATCTGTCTATTTTAAAATTATGGAAGAAGAAAATAGAATAATATGTTTATCTTCGTCTTCAGATGATTCTTCAACCGAAAATTATAACAATAAATTTAAACTAAGCATACTTAATGGCAAATTTTTTGAAGTACTTCAAGATGATCATAATAAAGTTACTGCAGAATGTAAAGAATACCACAAACCTATAAATGGTTCTGCGGATTCGTCATCAAATTTTGTCAAGCATCTAAAAGTATAATATATAATTATATAATGAATCACATTTAAAATCATATTCATTATCAATCTGTTGCAATTTAGAAGTATTTTAATAGAAATTTTCATATTATTGATAAAAATCATTTATGAAATGAATAAGAAAACTAATATTGATTAAAAAAAAGAGGATGTTAAATTGAACACTAGGCCAAAATATAATCCAAATATTTGGGGCAACATTTTTATATGATAGATTACTTAGCAATATTTAATCCACCATGTGTTTTTTTTTTAATTTATACATATATGGTTAAAATATATAATTTTTTATACAAATGTATTTTTTTAATGATTTTACTAAATTTATGTCTACCATTTTTTTTTTTTACAAAAATATATTTTTTTTCGATTGTCAAACAATATGGTCCAAACTTTCTGGCCCACTGAAAACTTTATTTTAATGGGTATTAATTATTATTTATAAATTATAATCATATTTCTAAGTTCATTTTTAGTAGGTAAAAAATTTTTTAGAATTAATTAGTTTTAATAATTAAAAATAAATGTCTAAATAGGTAGGTGATAAAAAATTTTATAAAATATTTTAGCTTCATGGATAACTTTATAAAATTAAACTCTCTAGTAAAATTTTGCCTAATTTATAAATGTTAAAAATATAAACTTCTGTCCGCTAGATGGCATCTTTTAAGATATTAAAATTTTTATTTATACTTATAGCATAGGCAGTATTTTTGTATTTTCCGCGGCTAATTCTTGCTAACTGTGAATCACTAAATCATTTAGAAGTTTTTCCAAATTTAATTTCCAATCCTTTATAATCAGATTGTGGGGGAGGGTAGTGATTTGGAAAATTTTTTAAATGATGAAGACTATAACTTTATTTAGTAATCAAGATAAATTAATAACTAGATTAATTCATTTTTTTTATTGATGCATAATTTATAGATCATAATTATTTTTACCGTTTTATAAGGTATAATAATAAATGTTGTTTTAATATAATTTATTGTAATTTGTTGGGCATCGGCGAACAAGAAGATTAAAATATAAATTTAGGGCAAATGTAATTGATTATATATATTGACAAAAATATATTCGCTCTAGAAACATTGGAAAGGGATTTAACATTTATAAAAAAAAAAATATTTTCATAATAAATGAAATTTATAAATATGTTAAGCCAGACGCGTACGCATAAATTTGGTCTGGGGGGGAGGGGGGGATAATAAAATTTTTTAAGAAATATTTTTGTTTTTTAAAAAATATCAAGCATAAATTTATTAGGACTAATAACTATTTCTAATACACAATTTTAAATTAATTTGAATTATAAAAAAAATTATATGTAAATAATCACTTAAATGACCCAAAATAGAAATTTGAATTTTTTAAACCTTTACACAAAAAGTTTCTTAGGAATAATTGCATTTTGTATGTTATATATTTACAATGTAAAATCCAATCTTCGTTGTGATTGAGCTAATTTTTCAATTATCTCATCCTTGCTTGTCGTCAAATGCCTATGAATATTCAAAAGATCCATACCTTTCAATCTACTTTCAGATGTTGTACATCTTGGTATGTTTTTCAGAGACCTGCAGGACCGGCCCCCGGACAGGACCGTATTTTAATTTATTTAAATATACCCGGGCCGAGCCCGAATTT